TGACTGTCCCAACTAGGTCTGGAACACATCTGACTTCAGTTTATACTTCACAGGCGAGAAAGTCCTCGTCATTTGGTCTTCAACATCTGAGGTTGGTGGGCGGTTCCGATCCCCGGTGTACCTTGTATGTTTGGGCACCATGTTAGGATATGTGGTTGTGCTCACTCTCATGATCCGTGGCAAGTGTTTTTTCCGACCATGACAATGACACCGTCTCTGAGACCTTCCCGCAGGTGCGATCCACTTCTGGCGTGAGGATGGTGCATGCATTATTGGGCTCAAACCCTTCTCCTCGATCCCACTGTTGGCATACGATCTGTCCGTGATACCTTCTCTACTATCTCCTCGCCACTTTGCTCAACAAGTTCACAGTTACATCACTATCTTCCTGAACGGTCTCTTCCTTTGGCCCCTCTGCCGCTCCAACATTGCGAACCCCAGAATTAGGCGCGTTGCCATCCGTACATTGGTGTAGGTGAACAGTTTCCTCGAGGTCGACGCCGCGTCTGACTCTATTGATTATAGCGCATCACTTGCTGCCTTGTTGACGTCCACGGTGAGTTTTCCTTTACGCCAGAACGTAGCCTGACCCTTGACGAGCTGACCTTCGTTCTAGATCAATATTGGTGTCCTCACGTTACAACACGGTCGCCAGCTTGGCTGGGTCTGCCTGGGGTCTTGTGGCACAGACGTGATTCTCAACGCGATAGCCATATTTTGGGTGACGAATACGACCTCAGAAACTACACCTCTCCCCGAAGAGCATCCCTCCGCTGTTCGAGTGAAATCTCAACGTAGTCGTCCTAGTTTGATTCAGCAATTACATCCCAGACCAGACGCGTTTGGGTTACAGACCGCGTCCAACAAGTTCTCATGCAGCGGAACGCAAGGAATCTCAAGGATCAGTGATGATTCCCATATGCTTCAGGTGAAACTTTCTCCAGTCTGTGCTGTTCGTGGTAGGCACTAAAAGCTGATGGCCCATGGTTTTGTATAGGTCGTGGTCACCACTCATACGAGCACAGAGACAGATCCAGACACTCGTAGTGGCCACCTGTCTCTTCAAATAAAGGGTGCTGGCTCGTCATCTTGAGATACGTAACCTACAAAAACCCCAGGATATGCACGGGAGGAGGGTCAAAATCATTAGTACGAACACCGCCAATATGTAAAAAAGCGTCTAAAATATGATGCTGTGTTATCTTTATTGTAATCATAAAGTATTGGATATACTTTGGTGACATATTTGGAGTTGGCTTGGGTTTTGCACTGGCGCAGACTGGCGCCTCGAATTGGCGCGACGCGACGAGCACGTGATGGGAATAATGTTCAGCATCAAGGCGAAAACAGGCAGGCAACGACGCGAACTCCTGCTTTCTACCACCACGATCATGTCTACGCTATCCTGGTGCATTTTACTCTTCTCTCTGTATAAGATGTCTGCAATCGCCACGTCAATCACCTTGAGCCCTCGCCCAATCCCAACAGAACTCTACTCGCCGCTGATTCCAACCAAACTACTCCACACATTCAACAACCTACCAAATCCCATTGAATACCCCCACTATACCAATAAGGAACACCACAATAAATGGGACTACTTCGCTCCTGAAGACGTATGGACTTCGGGTTTCTTTCCTGCTACGCTATACGAGATGAACAAACGGCGAGAACTATGCCAAAACGGCAATGCCAGTGGAACGGTGAACTGGGTTGAGTTAGGACGAATAGCGAGTACAGGACTGGCGGAGCTTCCTGGGAGGAATAGGCGAGGTCACGACGTCGGGTTTCTGAGCTATCCCTTTCTGGAAGAGGTTGAAATGTACGTTTTTCTACTTCTGTCGTTTCGGCGGCCCTTCATGCGCGATATTTTTGGCAGCAATCCTAGCAATGAAACCGCGGTATCTATCGTTAACGCCTTTGCTCGAGATCTCGCCAATCTTTACGTCTCCTCAGCTGGGGTAACGCGAAGCTGGGACCGCGGAAACCCCTCAGTCGTGAAAGTCATCATCGATAATATGATGAATATCGACCTCCTATTCACATCAGCGAAGTTGACTGGGAACCAAACCTTGTCCACTCTCGCTCAGACACATGCGGACACGACCATGAAGAATCATATCAGACCAGACGGTAAGCTTTGATTTTTTTCGATTTGCTCGTTATTTTTTCTCGTCCAACACGCCCTTCTAGGATCTACTTGGCACGTTGTTGAGTACGACGAGAATACGGGAGCGGTTCTAAGGAGACGAACGGGTCAAGGATACTCAGATGGTAGGTGCGGTATTCATTTTTGTAGCCCATATCCAGCGTTCACTGACTTGAGATTTTCTTCCAGTACTTGGGCCAGAGGCCAAACATGGGCTATCTACGGCTTTGCCAACAGTAAGTCTTTCAATCTACATCCAACGCTGTCCAGGCTATCCTCAAGCTTTCTTCGTTTCCCTTACAAGTGTTTGAAAGAACTTCTAAGCTCGTCTACCTCGACACTTCCCGCCGGCTCGCGAGCTACTTGCTCTCCAACATTCCCAAGGACGGCATTATCCCCTGGGACTTCAGCGCTCCTCTAGTTGATACCAAAGTCCCCGGAGGTTTGCGACCCGCGGACTCTAGCGCAGCGATGATTGGTGCTACGGGATTGTTACAGCTTTCTGAAATGGAAACAAATGCCGAATTGGCACGAAAGTGGCTTGATGGAGCTATAATGGCTAGTTCCTTTCTCAGAATAATGACGAGGTCGTTCTGATGATTATCATTGCTTAGATTCTCAATAAAATGACCAAAGTGGCTTGGAGTGCACGATGGGACAGCCTGCTCTCCAATGGAACGGTAAATTGGCGGGCGGATAACTATTTGACTGGGACTGTCTACGGTGAGTGTGTGATACTTCGTTAGTTTGTACACGTTTTACTTACATCGTGTTTTCGCAGGTGACTATTACTTTGTCAAACTAGGAAACGAGCTCGTTCGGCTCGGTTACGCGACATGTTGAAGTATACACCTTTTGTCTATACCCTGTGCTTGTAATATGGTACTCAAAGTATCGCTGTAGTTTCAAAGAATCCCCTTCAGCATATTCCTGTGTTGCGAGTCACGTAACCAGGAAAGGGTTCTTAGCGCTGGCCCTGGTTGACAAGAAAAATCAATCAATCGTAAACATTCAAGGTGCTGCAGTGCACGCAGCGCCTCGTTTTGAACGCGGGCGTCCCTTCTTTGGGCGCTTGAAACTAAATGAATGGAACGCGCCATTTATGAATGGCATGTCATGGGGTCCCCCTAATAAGGGATACTGTGGGCACGACACGGCATGTCGACCTCGCCTTGTACATGTGAGTGACAGTTTACGGGGGCCTTTACAGCTTGTACGATCGGTACTTAACCTCGTTCCACCACGACCTGAGGTTGCCCTTACCAACCTTCCTCCCTTGCTGAACTCTTTCCTGGAAGGATGGCCATCGCCTTCCATGGCCATTTGCATACGTCGAGCGTGGAGTCCTTAGATACGACGAGGGCTCGATATAGGTACCATCTGAGCTACGATAGTCTTCCCAACGACAATTTCACGAGCAGCAGCGCCTCCACCTTCGATCTTTCAACACGAGATTCTCTCGAGCTTTCAAGAGTCCGACTTGGGTATCCCCAAATCCCCGAATTCGAGTTTCAAACACCGAAGAAGAGAAACCGAGAGGCCTTTATTCGTCGACAATCGGTCACTCATACGAATCTAGGGGATCGGCTCAACACCTTAGAAGGATGGACGGAGATCATTCATAGCATGGAAGGGCAGAGATCAGAATTAGAGACCCGACACATCGCTCGATCGCAGAAACCAGTAACTGGTCGGAGTCGAACCGAGACAGTTGAAGCTGATTTGTGAGTTTCTGCGTGAGATTGCTACCCCTCACCTCCCTCACCTCTCTCAATCCTACACACAGATCCTTTCCTCTCGTACTCATGGACCACACCGAATGCATGGGTTGCACGGACATGATTCCCAAATCTCTATCTCTCGAGACAGCCTGCGGTCACGTATACTGCTACACCTGCGTCGAAAATCTCATATCTCAGTCGCTCGCTGGTCAAGAATCGAACTTCCCACCACGATGTTGTCCCGATAGCACACCCATTGCTCTCGATCGTATCGAGAACCGAATTGATGCGCAGTTGATGTCCAGAATCCGCGACAAGACAGAGGAATACTCGATACCGCGGGCGAAACGCGTTTACTGTCCCAATGGAGGATGCTCAGTCTTCCTGGGATCGCGCAAAACACTGAGAAGGAAGAATAAAACATCCAAGCGTACCCCGAGCTCGTCTCCAGATCTACACCTCCCTTCGAACGCAAATTGGAAGCAAGGAAGAATGTCAGTTCGAACCCTCGGATTCGGGATACGAGCTACACCCTGCCCTTCCTGTTCGACTCAGATCTGTCTTAGATGCTACCAAACCCTCGATATTCACCCTTTCCTCAGTGACCGCGGATCCAAACGCAAATGGAGATCGTGGAAACCGAGTCCGTGCTCGCTACCGCTACCTCGTGCCGCCACCGAGCGGAAAGTTAGACGTCAAAGCTCGGGTACGTTTCAGTTACGACTCCTAGCTGCCAAAGAAAAATGGCAGAAATGTCCTGGATGTGCACGTCTGGTCGAGCGGAACGAAGGGTGTTACCACATGACATGCCGTTGCGGGACCAACTTCTGCTACAAATGTGGTGGGTTGTGGAACAAGAGAAGTTGGTGTCATTCCTACGTCGTTGGAAGGCCATGGCCTGGGGTTGGAATACTGAAGAAATTGTTGGGATGAGGGGTCTAGTATGCGGCTCACGATCAATAGGAATCATTTATGTATCATTGCTTGATTATCTCCTGTATTGATATCCTTCTTCCACCACGGGAAGGACAGAATTGATACACGATGTGCAACGAGCATTCTGGCAGTGCTCGTTTCTTGATACCTGATGCAGCAAAAAGCAAAAATATGGGAAATCTATCACCCACAATTGCTCACGCCCGGGATTGAACCGGAGACCCTTGCATTCTCTGCTTGGTATGATTAAGGCAACCCATAAGTACAATGCTCTACCACTGAGCTACGCGAGCGATGTAAACTAGCAACACAGGCACCGTCACCATGTGCGAGGTCAGGCCAAAATTGACCCATCCGACGGAACCGTGCAGTAGTGCATTCCCTCCACGCTCCCATCGCATGGATTCACCGTACGCAATATAGCGTTCTGGGTATCCCGTATTTTGATAGGATTATGAGGTTGTAGAAAAGGAGCATGAGATGGCCCGTTAGAAGAAACTTTGGGCAGTGGTGGTTGAGCTAACAGTACCGGGCTGATCCAATACGAGGCTACTCCATCTTTGTCGCTGTCTTAAGGCGTGTTCGTAATATTGTTCAACCGCTTACTGAACTGGCACAAAGTACAGGCGGAGACGGAACGAAAAAAAGAAAAAAAAAAAACAAACAAAGATACTATTGCGACGATTGCTACTTAGGTCTCAGGATATCGTCCAAATGAACTAGAACTTGAAACCGGTGGTGCCTACCACGTCAAAAACCATTGTGCCAGGAGCATCTAGCGTCTACTGAGCGTTTCTTTGGCGGTTTTGAACCTAGAAAAAGGTTTTGATGGATTGAAATCTGACGATCGAGGTGGATTTCCTATTCTCTGAAGACGTTCAGGGGCGAGCAACGAGAAATAAAGACTCGGTCTGAAAGGCCATTGGCTGGAGGGATGATTGTCATGGCCTCTGCGGACTTGAATACAGGAGAACGAGAATTATCGGGAAGTGGGAGAGATTGATGATGGACGTTCGCAAAAGACCCTCAACCAGGCAATTTCCTACCAATAGAAGCTTCGAGCTGGGCCGAACAACCCGACCTCATTATGCGAATCACGTAAATCACCAAGACAAGGTTCTGCGGCACCGGATCCGAATCTCTGACACCCCCCCCCCAGAAGAGTACGTTCTCATAAGACCAATGCCTGAGCCCTCAATTCATTTTCTAACGCATTGCAGTCCAACCGTGTCGCTCAGCACCTTGCACTCGAATCACACCCACTCACTGATGATGAACCTCTTCCGAGGATGCGATCTTCGTATATCTAAGTTGTTAGCTGAGTGCTGTTGCTGCACGGGTTGCTCGTGCTTTCGGAAGCCGACCAAACTCAAACGATGGCAAAAGCATCAATGAGCAGGGGGAGGGCCGGATACCGCTAGTAGTGCTGACCGATGCGAAGCGATCCCTCGTGAGTCAAAAATGTCGCAGGAATTCATCTGTTTCTGCTTCGGGTAGGTGGTGCGGATCGCCTACAGTAAACTAAGCCCATGTCCAAGCGAAACCGCTTGAGCCAACCTCATGAATGTCAGTTGATGGTTTTCGATCGCTTTGAGAAGATGTATCAGGCGTGCAGCGCTGTGGCTTCGATGATGGGTGCAGGAGCGCTCCTTAGGTCGCTGCAGTTGTCCTGTGTACACGAGGGGACCGAGAGTATTAGCTGCGGGGACAATTCCGGGAAGCTATGGACAGAACGGATCGGAAACTATGTTTCGTCCGCTTCAGGTCATGGCATCGCAATCCTCAGAAAAGAAAAACCACCCACATGTGCAGTTTTCAGGCGCTGGCGTGCATCAAAAACTCGGAAATGAGCATTCCGAATAATATGAATGTACTCTAAACTGACGAGAAGAACCACGAGGAGGCCTTGGGTATCACGAGCTCACAGCCTCCGCTAGAGAAGCCTCTTATGCTTGTGATTAGCGAAGAGGTATTTGAAGGATTATATGACAAAAACTCATGCATAAAATCTCGCCAGGCCAAGAGAAAAAGCAAAAAACAAAGCTCCCATAAACGAGCGCCTATATCTGTACGGGCGTTCCAAGGTATCAATTCATCTCGTCTTCCAGTAATGAACAAGACGAACAAAGGTTGGGGTGTAGATATGGCGTCTAATACCCATCTCGCTTTGGAAAAGAAGAGCGCCTGGACAGCCGCTGAAAGAAGTCTGAAGAGGATGCATCGGAGTGGGCAGCCATGAGTATAGAGCGAGGTGCTAGCAACGATAATGGATCGTAAACATGGAGAGGTCTTGAAGTTTCAGTAAACACCGACGTTCCACGCGGTCAAAGAACCCCAAATCACTCGTTGAAATTCCGTATCTTCGACTTGGCAGCCTCCAAGCGTCCATAAAAGATTGTCGTTCATGTCTGCTTATCGGTAAGATTCCCTTCCGACCTTCGCTACAGGTATCTGGCCTGAATTAGCCCTTTATCCATTCGTCCTGTTCATGAGTATTGAGTCGATGTCATGATGGTCAGAGTGATTCCTCTCCGGTACCTGATTGCAACTCAAACTGGCAGTCAGGGGGAAGAAGGAGTGATGTGTCCTTCCAAGTTCCCATCGACTTTTACGGTCAACAAGTCATCCTACCATTTCTCGGCTGCACGTTTAGCCTGTCACGTACCCTACTGTCGTGCTTGTACCGTTCGAACGACTGCCTCACTATCTGCGCCAGATGCATCTTGTGATCATCAAGCCGAGATAAGATCCCGCGGTCAACGCAACGTCTCCCCTCCCACTCTTGAGTGTATAGGGTCGTGCCCTCAGCTCGTCATCCTACCTCTTGAGGCAAAGCATCTTGCGAATATCGTTTTAGGGTATGGATACAATCACCAAGCCAATATTTCGCTTTGACATGAATTTTCTTGCCAGGCCGGTCTCTCCCAATACCAGGTGGGGTTCTTATAATTATCATTTCATTCAAACGAAAAGGTATGCTTTCATCACACACTGATAGCGGCCTTTATATGGGACTGACGATAAGGCTTGGGCATAGCGTGTCTTGTCCTTTCTCCTCCCCCGTACTGCTGATACTCATGGTGTTGTCCGAAAAATCTATCCGACGTCGTGATACCGTCGAGGGAACCGCAGACAATGATCTACTAGCAAGCCTGGGTTATAAAAGCGAATTCAAGAGGGAGTTCTCGGTAGGTTGTTCGCTAAGATGTACTGGTCGAGATCAGTCCTGAGCAAGATTTTGCTTCCAGCTCCTCGAAACTATTTGCATTTGCCTTCTCTATCATGGGAGTTATTGCCGGCGTCTCGTCTACGCTCTCCTTCGGCCTTGCCGGAGGTTAGCATACCGCAACTGGTTTCTCGAATCAACCGATGCTTATACATGACGCCGTTAGGAGGACATGCGGGCCTCGTCTTTGGATGGCTGATACCCTGTCTTTTTACCTCCACTGTAGCCTTATCCATGGCGGAGCTAACATCCTCAATGCCGTGGGTCTATATCCTTCCTCTACCGTCCATCTCCTTCCGCCAATAGACTATTCCCTCTAGCACGAGCGCTGGTCTCTATTATTTCTCCGCAAAACTGGCACCTGAGGGGTACGGACCTGTCGCGAGCTGGATTACTGGTGCGATTTTCCCTCTCCCCTTGTTTGTTGGGTCTGAGTTCAAATACATATCAAGGATGGGCTAATATCACCGGCCAGGTTACGCTCGTGTGCGCAATAGACTTTACTTGCGCACAAATGATCACGACGGCGATCGCGGCCGGTAGTGATGGAACCGTTGTCCTTTCGTCAGGAGCGACGTATGGAATTCTTTTGGCAATTCTCTTCACGCATGGGATAGTTTGTTCTGGGGCTACGAGAGTCACTGCTCGGTTGAATGTGGTCTATGCGATTATTACCGGTATTTGTCTGGTGGCTCTACTAGCGTGATTTCAATGATCCCGACGACTCACAATCTCTTTCTAGTGGGAGCTACGGTCGCTGCAACTATTGCATTACTAGTTGCATCTGGAAATAGGAAGGTTTCTACGAGAGATGCGTTTTTGAAGTACGAGAACCACTCCGGTTGGCAGAACGGTACGTCTCTGGGATTCCTTTCTTCCGCAGAATCCTTAACCGTTGTTATCTTCTCGTTCTTTAGATGCCTGGGCATTCTTACTTTCCTTCACTTCCCCCATGTTCGCTCTGACAGGCTGTACGTTTTTCTTTTCCACGTCGACTACGCCATCGCGCCCACAACCTTCGTTCTTCAGACGATTCGGCAGCTCACATATCCGAAGAAGTAGCTGGAGCAGCTCGTGTGGCGCCCATAGCCATCCTGGTCGGCGTAGGTGCTACAGCTGGGTTAGGATGGATCCTGATCTTCGCAACTTCCTTCGTTATCCCGTCAGTCAGCAATATATTGGCATCTGATCTCCCGCTACCCATGGGTCAAGTTTTCCTTGATGTTCTCGGGAAACGGGGTATGTTGGCAATATGGTCGATGATCATTGTTGTTCAGGTGAGTAGGTTTCTCCCGACGAGGCCTTGTTCGAGCTGACTGATGGTTTCTTTAATATGCTATAGTACGTGACGGGGGCTGCGCAGGGTATTGATGCTTCTCGTACAGTGTTCGCATTCTCGAGGTGGGTGTAACTTGGTGCCCCAGGCTCCGCCACCGTAATAATGGTTGGTCATTCGCAGGGACCATGCTCTGCCGGGATCGCGGTGGTGGAGAAGGATCAATCGAACCACATTGACCCCCGTTAACGCTGCTTGGTTGGTCATGGCGCTGTCTGGAGTTTGCGGAGTGGTCGGATTCTCGGCAACTGCGTTGAATTCCCTCGTCGGGTAAATGGACATTTCTCCCCGATATCACTATTATCAGTCGTCGTCGAAACTGAAATTTACATTCATCAGCGCATCGGTGATTGGCCTGTACACCTCATACACAGTACCAATATTTTTCGTTGTCTTCGGGGGAAGGAAGAAAATCGTGCCAGGGCCGTTCAATATGGGCAAATTGTCGAGATTCATTGGAGGTATCGCTGTGTTATGGGTCACCTTCATTATTGTGGTGCTCGTCTTTCCAGTTGGACAAGCTGTCACGGCTGAGAATATGAGTAGGTTTGACTAATTTGCGATTTTAGTTGGAATGGGCTGACGAGCAACCAAAATCAGACTACGCTATTGTGATCATTGGAGCCGTGTTCATCTTTGCTTCCATCTCGTGGGTGGTTTCTGCGAGGCATTGGTTTCATGGTCCTGTGAAGACTGTCGGTGACAATAGTGTGGGTTCTCTCGAGGGATCA